CGCTGCAGAGTTCTGGACCAACTGAAGGTGGTCAAGAGCTTTTTTGTTAAAACATGTGAAAGGTGTGTTACAGTAATCTAGACGGGAGGAGATAAAGGCATGGTTAACCATTCCACATTCAAGCTTAAACACCAACCGTCGCGTCACAATTTGGAGATATTTCTCAAATGATGAAAACTGTTTTGGACAAGCGTTTTTGAGTGGCCTTCAAGAGACACCGATTGGTCAAAAACACCTAAATTCCTCAAGTGTTAAAATCTGACTATAAAGCCAACGCCATTTCCAAAATGGGATTTCTCTACCCAGTAATGTACACGCATGGTGACAATCAAAACAGGATAATTGTGAGCGCACGTTGTAGAAGCATACACTTATTAATGCCTGGCTTTGATATTTTTTTTGTGTGACGCAGACACACAAAATAATTATCTTGCTGAAATGTCCGCCAGACTTGTTGCACCACGGACCGTCTGGCACCAATTACACATATTACGAGCGTATGAGTGCATTCTGGAGGATAAGTTCTTGCACCCTCTAGTGGCACAAAATATATTACACCCCAACTCAGCAGAAGGACTTGAAGCAGATAAGCGGGCAAAACTACTTTACCCGGTTGCAACATTAACGACAATTAACTGGTTAATTTACATCCCCAACTCTAAGCATTTTTGGTTTTCATTGGTATTTTTATAAACTGTTAAATAATAATTTGAAAAAAGCTTGATTTTGAGAAGCGGCGCACCTATATTCTGAAGTATCTTTGAAGGTTGTGGTTTCTTTCCATCATTAGTTTGAAGATTACTGTGGGTGTGGATAAAATCATAATTTATAGGACATTCTACCTGGCCGTGATGGCGCTGGTCTCATTAGAAGGATAAATTAGTTGGTTTATTGTCTTAAAATGGACTTGTTGGGTAGAGAACTGAGATGATCAATAAACCATCTCACTATGATCATCAATATTTTTCCAGGGAGGGAATTATCGTGAGACAGATGTGAAACTTCTGTCCAATCTATTTGAGTGATTAAAATTAAAAACAAGACTTTTCTTTTTAATGGGGGATGAGGCCGAACGAAAACAATGAGCAGATAAGCAAATTTAAAAGGTGAGGATGAAGTCAAACAAACCCTTCCAGCCACAACAAAACAAAGAGTGCTTAATAGCATTCAACTGCTTTAGGATGTGCTAATAATTCACATTTACCGCTGAGAATATGTTGCTTCTTCATATAAAGTACTTTATTCATATCCACTGTTGGCTATGAATGTTTAATCGCCCCGTTGTGAGGTGGTTTTTCCCATGAACTACACAGGCCATATGAAACTAATAATGTGTGTGTGGGGGGGTGTCCTATAAGTGAGTGAAGGGTCAGCTAATGTAACATTACATTATGATGGTTTCCAGTCGTATCTGGGTTTGTGCTACATAGGATCAGATGGATCATATTAGGGATGTCCCGATCCGATCACATGAACGGAAATCGGCCCCGATCACGTGGTTTCAGACTCGATTGGGACTCAGACTTTACTTCCCGATCCAAGCCCCGATCCGAACTTGGATACTGGGTTCATATTACAGGAGAGCAACTTGGTTCTCCGTAAAGGTTGTCAGGCTCCCCTGATGCCCTTAACTTACACACCCAGAAGGAGCCCAAAAAAGATCCAGTTTCTACCTTTATTATATTATTTATATGAACTCAGTAGCGGATTCTTTTGAGCAGAGATGCAGAGCGGCAGACAGACCGCTGATTATTCATGAACTCCTGCTGCGTTCTGCACACGGCCACAGTAGGGATGGGCGATATCTTGTCGTTTGCGATAAACCATTGAAAATTCTCCTCACAATAAAATTTTGACTTTTCACGATAATAACGATAAGTCCCATTGATGACGTAGTTTTGTGCGCGCCTGGTTCACGAGCAGAGTGAAAACAAGCATGGTGGAAGGCAGAGGCGACGCTGAGGAGGAGCTTGTTAAAAAGAGAGGAGCTACCTCAGCAATTTGGAACTTTTTTGGTTACCTAAAAGCAGATGAGGAGCAGACTACGGTGTTATGCAAAGTTTGCAGAAAAACTGTGGCTACGAAGGATGGAAACACATCCAACTTGTTCCACCACCTCAAACACAAACCGGTGTACGAGGAAAGTCTCAAGATACGTGAGGCAAAGGAGGCATCGACTACGAGTGGACCGAGGCGGAGTAAGACAACCTCCACGCAGATGAAAATTACCAGCACTTTTGCTAATGCCGTCCCTTACGATAAGAAAAGTAAACGATGGAATGAACTGACGGACGCAGTGGCGTTTTGTTTGACGAAAGATGTGTTGCCGTTCCAAATGGTGGAAAAAGAAGGATTTGAGCGAATGACTCATTAACTGGAACCAAGATACAACATGCCCACGCGGAAATACTTTTCCAAAACAGCCCTGCCAGAGTTGTATGAAGAGTGCCGCGGTAGGATAAAAACGTTGCTGTCTAAAGTGGATTGTTATGCTTCAACTGCCGATATGTGGAGTAGCAGAGCGACTGAGCCGTACATCGGCCGATGACGCAGAGAAAACTGAGGCTGAATTAAACAGCCACCTGCATGGGCCACTTGCAGATGGTGAAAGCAATCCCCTTGCGTGGTGGAAGGTACATGAGGTGAACTTCCCTAACATCAGTCGTCTAGCCAAAAAGTACTTGTCCATCCCTGCCACTAGTACGTACACCCCCAGAGAGGGTGTTCAGCGCTGCTGGAAATGTAGTGACATGCCAAAGGTCTCTTCTGAACCCAGTTACTGTCTTCTTGACCAGAAATCTGAAGGTGTGAGCCCTGTTCTCTCTTAAAAGCTACCAAATCACACGAGTATGTGTGTTATACAAGTTGCACTTCAGACATGTTCGTGTCAGCCTCATTTCTACATTTTACAAGAGTGTATCAGTGTTTAAAGTTTAATACACTGTTATTTCTTTTTATTTATTGATTTGTTATTATTTATTGTCATATTTTGCATTATTTTGTAAAATGAAAACAGCTGGGATATTTACTTTTCAGTACAGTGTTTGCACTATCTTTATGTAATGTTCCATGGGAAAAGGTGTTGACAGCTTAGCTACCTAAGTACTATATTAGCATTCTAACAGTATGTCATTAACATTGTTTCACACAAAAGTGTATACTTTATCAGGTAACATTAACAAGGATATTATGTTATCAGGTTTCACTTACAGTGGTACTCTGTTGTAATTTTGAAACAACTGAAGGCACTGGAGAAATGCTTTTCTTTTGCTTTTTGTACTATTTTTGCTACTGTTTATGCACAAAGTACAAATAAATACAGAAGCTGTTTACATTTTAAACTCGTCATTATTTGAACCATTGTGTAATCATCACTGTATGTATGTATATTATATATATATATATATATATATATATATATATATACATGTTATCGTAATAAATACCTAAAATTTTCGTGATAAAAATTTTGAGCCATATCGCCCATCCCTAGGCCACAGTAACATTTTCTAAGTTTCAAAGTGGTGTCACCAAAAAATATATAATTAGCACACAGTCATTCGTGTCCGTTCATTTTCTCTCTGATAAGTTACGTCTGTATTTGAGCATGACGTGTGGAAGCGCTCGCGCTGCCCCCGCTGCAGCATTCGTCACTGCCGGGCGGGATGGCGCACACTCCGCTTTTTTTGTGGTCAGTAGATCAATTTGAACTACTAGTTAAAAAGTTACTTGTGAGATGAAAAAGAAGGAAGCAGGCCGGAGTTTTTCTGGAGGACTGGAAGATGCAGGAAGATCAGAGCCAGACAGGACAGGAAGACAGGAAAATAAAAAGCAAGAAAACAAAACAAAGTTCTTGAAAAGTAAAATGTAGGTAGATTTATCCCACTACACGTTTGTACCTGTATAAAGCAATCATTTATCAGCATGTAGTATTTATATAGTTGATACAATTCAGATCATCTTCAAAACTCCGTCCCATGCCCAGGGACGTATCTAAGCATTTTGGGGGCCGAGGCAAAATAGACCCCCTGCCAGGTATTTTGTGTTGAAGTGCTATCTGTTTTATATTAGACTTTTTATATTTGCAATAATGTCCAAAAGTGAAGAATTTACGTTATTTATTACTTGATTGTTCAAGCTATCTCACAGAAGTGATCTGTTGTTAAAAATTAAAATAAAAAGGTAATTAAAATAAAATAAGGAACATTCTGGAACTGTTTCTTACTTTTCTTTCTTTTTTTATGTATCAATAGTATTGGATCGGGACTCGGTATCGGCAGATTCTCAAAATCAAATGACTCGGACTCGAAGGCAAAAAAAACCTGATCGGGACATCCCTAGATTAAATACCACAGCTCAGATGAAAGATCAAAGGGATTGCAGTTTTTCTTTACAAATTTAGCCAGATTTGGCCAGATTAGTACTAGTTGGCTATACTGACCTGGTATCTGGTAAATCCGGTCTTTCCTGCTGTACGGTGTTACGGGTAGGATTTGACTTGCACTATTTTTACACTTTTGGAAGCCATCCGAGGCTTGCTTTGTAAATCTTCATTATGGATAAATGCTTGTGCAGCTAGAGCTGAGGGGCTATGGCGTTATTCCAGAAATAAAAAATCTAGAGAGGGTGCAAACTGCACTCTGGTACAGGATTTGCATTGCATTCTTTTAGAACAAAGATGCCATTGTTGTGCGACTTAAGACGCAGAATGAATGAATGAATGAATATATGTAAAAGATTTAAAGTGGGGCTCCAGTCTGATTACACTTTGTCAGTAGGCTGTAAAAACGGCTTGAAGGATGAGATCAAAAGTGCCCTTCTGTATAAACTGGCCTATTTGTATGATGACATATCTATGTCATAAACTCTACATGAACTTTGTCTATGAACATGAGCCAAAGCCCCTCTAGGAAGAGAATCAGACAGACATTCAGAGATTTGGCATGTTCAAAAACACCGCCCGCCCACCCACACCCACACCCACACACACACCAACTAACCTGGCATGTGGGACATCGATGCTGGATGAGACTACTTTGCGTTTCTGCTCCAGCAGAGACACTGATCGGGCGTCGGGGTCCCGGCTAACACGCTTGCCGTCCGCCAGCCTTGGTTCCTCCACCGCCTCTGAACTCAGGCAGCCCCCCTCCACCTTTTGGCCTTCTGGGACTCCGTTACTGGAGCTCTGCTGTAAGGGGATAGAAACGGGATAAAGGGAACGCTCGTACACTCAAGTTTTCAAACCAAGAGGAATGAACGTGTCAAACCGTTTGGCAGCAAGTGGGCCGAATCCAAAAATTATTTAAGCCGGGTCTGGGCTTTATCCAACTTGCGCCTAAAATATTGAAAATAACTATTTACATTTGAAATGAAGGCGTACACTATGTCAGGATTTGATGTGGTAGGATGTTTTAGGACCCAAAAATGCAGAAAACCAGATGAACGAGGCAGGAGGTGGATGATGAAAATAAAATCCTTTATTAAGAGTAGTCCAAGAAGCAGGGAGCCCAAACCAAAAAATCCAAAAATCTAAACTGAGTAATCAAAAACTTCAGAGAACTAGGAACACTGGAAAACACTGGAATCACTAGAAGCTAGGAACAGGAACGAGACGAGGCTGACAAGAACAACAAGCAAACATTAATGGACCGACAAGAACACAGAGACAAGGAGAGCTTATATAGACAGGGAGGAGCAATTAGGGAAACAGGAAGCAGGTGTGTGGAGTGAGGCTGGAGGAAGGCAGGTGACAACAATTATCTGGATGGGGAAGAGAACCAGTGGAGGGCAGATAAACCTAACACTATGTAAAACACAAAACTAAACCTAAAGACTAAGGGAAGAACTCACACAAACACATACACATACTGAGACACACAAACTATGAACTGGGGAACAAGAGGCTGTGGCTATAACTTAAGACACACAACAGAGATGCAGACAAAGGACACATGAGGGCGCTAAGAGAACACAAAAGGGAATCCAGAGAGGGATGGAGAAACATTAGGAGACACATGGGGAAAGACGCAGACAAAGGACACATGAGGGCGCCATGAAACACAAAAGGAGAACCTGGAGTGGGAACTGGAGGGCTGGGGAACAAAGGGACACAGAACATGACACACTATGGTTGTTTTAGAAACATTTCCAGTCTCTTGGGCCAGTAATAACTTTGCCAAAACCTATTGAAAAGCTGAAAAGTGGTCAGTTACAGAAAAGCAAGGCTGTTCTTCCTGCAGACATTCTGGCGTTATGAGGTTTTCAGCAACAAAAACACGTTCAAGAAAAAGAAAAACAAACTTTGCATAAAATCTCTTATCTCATTTCATGTACACAAGTGTTAGATTCACACAATTATTAGTCAACCTAAATCAAACAACTGCTAGTTATAAATAACAGATGTAAATATCAAATATATTCATTTAAAACACATTTTACCAACAATTTTTTTATACAATTGACACTCAGCTTTATAAAAATACAATTTCACACTCTGCTTGTAGCTAAACAACAAAACCAAAGTGTCAGGAGGTGTCTGATGTGGCACTTAAAGAAAATAAATAATCTCGGGAGGCTCATAAGCAGCTGAAAACAATTTGCGTCTCTAAGTGGAAGCAATGAAGAGGTAAAACGCTCCAAGGAAATGTCAAAGCATAAGCAAAGTGACTCACACAACTGTCCGCAACAACACTAATGTGGGCTAATTTAGGCTAAAGTGTGTTTCGGTACTTCTGCAATGTGAATACATGGAAACGGCACTGATGTAAGCAGAAAGCAAAATTCACTAAACATGAGACGGAAAGCTGATCAAAGCCGCTCGTTCATTTGATCCGAGTCAAAAACACTGAAATCTGAGGCTAAATCAAACCTGGAGTGGATATATTCGTTTTTATTTAAAAAAAACAGTTTCAGAGGAAGTTCAAAGGTCAAAGATCAAAGGCATAATAAATTATCCCAATCGTGTCTGTTGACTCGTGTTTCCTCTGTTGCTTGGCAGCATCTGTATTAAAAGTTAGATGTTAAATGTTTGACGTCCAAAGCTGTAATTTTACAACTCATTTCACAAGCAACTCTGTTTAAAATGTACGTGTTGACTGAAAACAAATCAATCACAGAAAACTGGAAAATTCTCTTCAAAATGAAAACGCTCGTTTTCAAACGATGAGTCAGCAACTACTTTAAAACAAAGAGTTAAGCACGTTACAGACAGGAAATAAATACATTTTACTTAAGTAACTGACTAACGCACACAGGAGTGGCTCAGTGTCACGAGTCGGGTCACACACACACACACACACACACGCGCGCGATCCATACGACACTTGTGAAGAGGTAAATGTGTAAAACAACAGCATTTAAGAATGCCGAAAGTTTTGTAACCTTTTTTTATAAATCAGTAAATTCATTTAGTCCTCATGGGCTTCCGTAGAAGGAAACATGGAATTAATATGGCATCGCCCAGACATAGGGTTCTTTGGTATGTTCTTACTGTGTCTTGTTTCTAACTGCATTTTTGTCCTTTACCTTGCTGACACATCAACAAGTTTTGCAGTCGGCAAACGAAATTGTTAGCGAGGTAAAAAAAACTTTTCTGTGTTTTAAAAAGAACCAAAGCTAAAGCTTCTAGTAAATCCACTGTGTTGATGTATTTTACCAAGTTTCCTCTATGCCACAGTTTTGGCTACAGGAGTTAAAGTTTATGTCACAGAGTAAAAGTTCGGCAGACGCGTTTGTTAATATTTGGCTGCTGTGCGCCGGTGGGGGGGGGGGGGGGGGGGGGGGGGGGGGCTCGGTGCTACACACAGACAGCTGGTGTGATCAGCTCTGAAAAGTGCTGATCACAATTTGCAGGTGATGTTTATTTTTCACGGAGATCGGCCGCGGATTCCTCTTCCGGTCGGTATAGTAGGAATTGAAATAAAAAACTTTGAACGATTCCAGGAAAAACTAACAGTTGGTCCCGGTTCCAATCGATGCCCGACGCCCAACCCCCAGTTAAAAGGGAGTTTTCCTCTCCACTGTCGCTAAATGCTTGTTTAGTATGAGGATTGCTGTAAAGACTGACACTAGTCTGTGACGATGCAATTTGCTGGGTTCCTTATCTAGGAAACTTTTTACTGATTGGCTTAATGAACTGACCGGTATTGGAATGTTTACTATGTGAAGTGCCTTGAGATGACTCTTGTCGTGATTTGGCGCTATGTAAATAAACTTGAATTGAATTATCATTTTTGAAAGGTATGTAAAAGAATGTAATCTCACTCAGTTTAACCATCTTTTATTTAAGGTAGTTTAGTCCTCATATTTTATTTTCTGTGAATTTGGAAATATTTGCTCTTGACTGCCTAAGGGAAACAGAATATTTTAGGGGAACATAATTTCCCACAACACCCGTTTCACTTGGATCATGGTGCGCTTGATGTAAACAAACTGGCTGCCTCTACCAGCTCATGGATATGGAGCAATCACTGCCTGCTTGTTACGGCTAGTAAAGGAGGGTTAGTGAGCCGGGAAAATGCTGTGGAGATCAAGTAAACAATGCTGACTTAGCCACCAGCTAATCGTGACTCACGGCTGGCGTGGTGGAGATGGGCGTCACGAGCGGCTTGTTAGCCATAGCTAGAACTGGAGACAAGATGTGTATGCTGTGCGTAAACTCCCACAGATTACCAGCCAAAGGAGACCCGTGTAGTTGAATTAGCAAACGTCATTCTTCCAGAGCGCACTGCTGCCCTCTGCTGTTTCTGTCAGGTTACAGTCACAGTCCAAATGCATAACGTGGAGCTCGTATGTCCCTGAACAGCTACTGTATTTTAAGATGGTGGATTACCATGAAGCGTCGACCACAGTTTATGTATTTAAAAATGTCAAATTTCAAGTTGAGAGGAATATTTAGAACTGATGTTGGTGACAAATATTAGTGAAAAAGGGCAATATTTCAAGTCATGATACAGAACTGAGTTTTTGTTAAAAATTCATATGCAAACATTCACTGTTTTTTTTTGTGTGTGTGTGGTGCAATTCAAACTCTGACTGCTAGGTGGCGGCCCTTTTTACTACCATTCATTCTGACGAAACAACAAAATCTCACAATAACACTGGATGTGTCTCGGAGGGGTCTAGCTGGAGTTTTACAACTAAATTCTGTCTAAAAATTGCAAATATCATCTGACTTTTAGTTTAGCAATATATCATATTGCCTCCCCCATTTTATAATGCATATTATATTGCCTGATTGTTGCCAATACACACCCGTAGTCACAAACCATAACTAAAAAAATAATCATTAAAACTGAATCAAGAAACAATGTGTTTTGCCCTTGTTCTGCCACATTTACTTGAATCTGCTTTAAGAACTGCCACGAAGTTCACAAGTTTGTTTAATTTGGAAGGCAAAACAAACCGAGCTTTCAAAGCACTAACTAAACAACTAAATATTTTTTATTGATCACCTTGTTTGGAAGCAAAATCTTAATAAACACTTAGTGTGTTATGCAGAACTCTTAAAAACACCTCCCATGTCTCCACAACTGCACCCAGGGGTGGCCTGTCTGGCACCCAGAACAGAGTCAACTGGCCTCTGTCAACAACTTTGCTCCACCGATTCTGGCTTTTAAGGAATGCCTAACGCCAGCGCAACAAAAACAAGTAATGTTTCTTTCTAAGCAACAAGAAAGTTGCCGTTGTTTGGGTCAGATAGTTGTACAAGTCAACAAGTGGCTTCCAAACCCCACCCCATCCTGCAAAACAGGGGGCATTCATTAGTAGTACCAGGCATGGTGCCAGGCATCCAGATTCTTTAGAGCATGCCACCCGTTGCCAACCTGGGGGTGCCCTCTTTGTTGGCCGTACAGCTGCTACTGCTCAAACTGAGTAAAGCTCTCACAAACAAACCTCACACTAAAAAATCCAAGTACCTAGATCTCCCAAATACACACCCGAGGAAAATCCCGTCGACATTTTACTACACTCTGGTGCACACTAGATGCAACACTGATGCACACGTGAATATACACACACACACACACACACACACAGCAGACCCCGCCCCCTCTTGGTTTTATGGCTTGTTTTCGACCTCAGTGGGAATTGAGTCGTGCTGAAAAAGACTTGACCATTGTGTCGACAACCGGGCTGTGCTTTCAGCCTCAGCTGCACTTCACATGATATAGTGCCATGTTGCATACAAAAACAACAGCACATAAAAGCGGATCCGGAGTTTTCAAAGTTATATGCAAAGCCCTTTGTCAAGATATGACATTTATTTAAGTCATCAAAATGACAATTAACTAGTTTATGTTGGTTTTACAAGCATTTCAAACATGGGAGTGCATTTTGAGGGTTGCTGCTGGAGGAACTGCGGTTGGACGCTCACCACACGCTTCCTTCTGGGTTACAGAAATAGCTTGCAAGTTACTTCACTCAAAAAACACAAACACTGAAGTAAATTATAGCAAATCAAAATGTTGTGATGTTTATGGCTCTACGACAAAAACAGTGGTCATCCAAAGGCTGGGGTGTTTATTTGAGGCAACAGCTGTTTAGTTTGCGTGCTTTTTAAAAAATGGATAAATATTTACTCAAAATACTATCTCCATTCCGATTGCACAGGAAACCCATGTGATCTATAACTAACAACAGTATCTGGTAGTGTTAAAGTCCATATTTAAATATGTGTCATGCTGCAGCGTGTGTGAATTAAACACGCGTTAAAAGATGCACTATTTGTACATGTGGATGCACACAGTTACACGAAACCAATCGCCTATGTGCAAATCTGCACGTCGAGCTCGTGCAAAACGCTGCAGTCAGAGCCTGTTTGCTTCCCTTCAAATTCACCCACCCTCTCTAGAAGCACATAAACATTGTGCAGGCCCTGTCAAGCCCTTTGTCCCACATATTTGTAATGACAGCGTAACATTTTGTAAATTTTGCAATCAAATTAACGTTTTTATACCATGACTTGTGCATTTTCTGACCCAGCCGGTCAAATTTGCCAACAGCGGCGGCGGCGGTGACACCATTAAATCCGCTCCGTGCAGGAAGCGGTTAAATGCCGCAAAACACCGCACAACAAAAACAGTGAAGCGCAGCCTGCCGGCCGGGGCCCTCTGCTTCACGCTTACACACACACACGCATACACGCGCGCGCACACACACACCTTCAGGCTTGGCTTGAGCGGTCCTTTGGCTGCAGTGTGGCTGGAGCCCGCGGCTAGCTCCTCCTCGGTGAACTCCTTCAGGCTCCCGTCCTGCATTAGCACGGTGTAAACGCTCCGCCGGACCCCGGCGGCCGAGACGTCTCTGTTTTCCTGCTTGACAGCCTGGACCACCCCCGTGACCGGGGCACCGTCCCCCGTCGGACTCGTAGCATAAACGCGGCTACCAAGGACAGACCGCTTCACCAGGCGCCTGGTATGCATGTCCAAAAAGTGCGCCCCTGTATTCAAAACAGTCGACCCGGTGGATTTTATAAATAAATCGTCGAATTACGACCGGTAAACAACGTCGAGGAAAGCACCAAACCGCAGCGGGTGAACTAGTAAACGCTCCGACAACCCTGGCAAAACGTTAGAAAGCGGCCACATACTCGAGGGAACGCAAACTCCACTCAGCGTCCCGAATGCACCGAATTCAGAAGCACGTTGGAACCGAAGAACTTTGAATTAGCACCGGAAAACAACACGATAAACCGATTCATTCGCCGCTACACGAGCCCCACATCCAACCGGCTAACAATCTCCGTCCGTTCGACCTGTTTGTTTTCCCCACTGCTCTCCTCAAGCGGAGGGGGCGGCGGGAAAACACGGACCAATCACCACGTCCCGTACCCGAAAAGACGTCCACACACGATTAAACAAAATGGCGCCCCTTTCAAAGAAAACCGTCTCGGATTCGAGCGAACGAGGGCGAGGACGTCGAGCCATGTCACTTGACTCGGCTATACAACTAGCGACTTTCGTTTATATGTCAAAAAACGGTGAAAAAACACAACCGTTAGACGGCTCCGGTTCCGTCTCGTGCGACATCCAGTCCGTCGTTTGTTTCCACCGAGTGGGGGCCTTTACCGGCGGATAGCTGCTTGTAAACATGTGCGGTTCAGCAGCAAAGGCGGGCTGCAATTGGACGCCGCAGCACACGCCTCCACAAGCCCCCACCGCACCCCTTTTTTCCTGCGAAGGAGGGAAATGCAACAGTGGAGGGTTCTCCATTCAAAACAATGACGCAAGGATGGATCGGAAACGAGAAGGGAGGGCATTTGAAAGACGGAAAAAGGGGGGAAGTTGGGCTACAGAAAGGAAAATTTCCACCAGACAGACAAGCTTTGTACTTTAACCCAGTTAAACATCCACATAACCTACTTTCCAAGTGCCACAAGACCACCAAAATACTATGATCTGGTTGCAAAAGCAAAATGAACTACACAAGTCTGCGTTCATGACTATGACAAACTATACATTTTTTTAATTTCTTTTAAAGTTTTTAATGTAAATTGAGACCATTTCAGACAGGATTTATATCATAAGTTACATCATATGTTCTGGCAGTTAAAAGACCCAAGTATGGCATCTGAAAGTGAAATTTGGTCAAGACCTAAATGTAGCTTACCAAATCTTGTTTCAATTACTTAACCTGAGCTGTAATTGAACAACAAGCAAAATACCACTCCAGAGTTAACATTCACCTTCAACTGGCCCAATTCTCCATCTGGAACAATTAAAAACAAACATAAGAAGGTATTATTGCATGGACAATAATGTTTAGGATGATTCAAGCCTTTAAAATACACATTAGGGTTATAAATTAAAGCACCGTTTTAGTACAGGGCTCGTGATCACACGTGAGTACGCATTGCATTCTGGGATGTGCGTGGCCATGTTGTGCAAGGCTGACAAGTGTAAACGCACCGTGAAACAAACAGTACTGCTGCAGCGAAGAAGTGGATTTGGATGAAAGAAAGTGTTAAACAACATTATAAAATTTAAAAAAGGATGCGGAATATACAGGTATAGGTTAAATAAAGACATTGGGGATCAGTATGTGGACAAAATCAGAGTTATAAATGGTTTTGATCCACGTGAAAGACCCAAGACCGGAGCACTGATGATATTGTTGCCGCCGCAGTTCTGCATAACGGACATTTTCGGCTTTCTTGTTTGTGTTGTGAGTGGATGTAAATGTTTTTGCCGTTTTTTCTAGTAAAACAATCAAAATTGTCATCTCACAGAAGTGTTGCAGGAGAAGTTGTGTTGTGCATCAGAGTGCCTGCATTAGCTTACCGGTATGTGAGTGTAGCCTCTGTGTGTGTATGTGTGAGTGTGCATTTCGCAGTTGAAGGAAAGAAACAATGCATTAAAAACGTACACTATCTGTGTACCAGAACGAAAATACTCCAGATGGTGATGTTTGGTCGCCCTATAGCTGCGATCCAAGTGAGCCGACGACACTTTGTTAAGCTAGATACGTAATCTCCGTGGTTTTGCCTCCAAGCAGGAAAACGGTGAAAAGTTAGCTTGTTTTCCACCTTTATTCCCCTGGCGATCACATGTGTCATCCCCACAACACAGCAACGATTTACTAGAGTTGTGTAATTAAACCGAACAACTGAATAATAGATTGATTTAAGCCACAAGAACGAGACTGAGCGCGCTGTTTACAGTAGTAACAAGCAACAAGTAAGGACTCACATGCCTCCAACAGGGCGGACGCGTCGGTGATGACGTCACAATCACAAGCCCTATTTGGACTAGCCATGATATAATAATGGGGGCTTATCCGGGATGCCAATTTTGAAGCTAGTTGTATAAATCTAAATTAATATGATTTTTGATTGTGTGTGTGTTAAGTTTGTTTTTGGATTTTCTCCTTTATCACCACCAGGGAGACCTGCGCGTTTAAATATTTATTTATTCTAGTGACCCTTGGGTGACCCCTGTAATGCATGGATTGCAACTGTTGCTCAAACTGCTATCTGTACTTGTTTTTATTAAACTAAACTGTTTATAATACTTTATGAATCAAATCTGGCAGAAAAGCAATAATTATAATATCCAGTCAAAATATGAGAAAATGCATCAAATAATGAAAAAAAAATTGTAACAATGTTCTCTGTGGGAGAAAATCGTATGTAATCTTTCTACAATACAGCACTCAAGAGAATAAAACCACAACTTTCTTTCTTACCGTATTTATATTTTAATAGAATAATTCATATGATAAAATATATACATGCAGAGAATAAAGACCAGACAAAGCAAAGCAACAGATGTGCCCATAACTGCCAAAACAGGCTCTGCCCTTTGATCGAAGGCGGGTGGGTGTCAACAGAGTTGTCTGCTGGCTGTTTGGGGGTGGAGAGGGGAGGCAGGGGTGTGGGGGGTGGAGCTGAAGGAGAGGCTGAACTACACTCCCTGAAGGGGAATGTGTTTGACTTTAAATGGCTGACACAGAAGGCGAGAGAGCGTAAGGTAAGTGTCTACCGTCAGTATCCGTGTGTTGTCCTGATTAGATTTGGCACTAAAACACCCCGTTTGGTGTCACCTCAAAGATCCTTCACAGCATTCAGAGAGCATTATTAAATATGACTGCCAACAGCCCGATATGTAGATATGTAACCACTTCACTTCATGGGAACAATACTTGCAAATGTTTACGCTTCTCTGAGAGGAAAGTGCAAATAACACAATGACCTACTGTATTTGCAGAAATAAGCACATTTCTTCAAGAGCTTCAGTTACTCATCTTCGAATGTGAAATAGCAGGAGCAGATCACATTACAAAATCCTCTTTCACTGTAGGAGTGCTGGGGAAATGAAGCGTTTCAAATAACTATGATTTATGAATCGATTACCAGGCAGGAGGAGCCATGTTTGCCTAAATCAACAAACCAATTCCCAATATGTGTAGTAAAACATCATCTGAAACAGGAAACAATGTTAAAGAGCAAGTCACCCCCAAATCAACATTTTTTTCCTGATAAACTATGTAAATGTGTGTCTAATCGTGCTGCAGACACGTGTAGTCAATAGTTTTGCACTTTAGTGCATTTTAGTTAAAATTTAAATTTTCTGCCTAAAACTGTCAGTGTTGTGCCGTTGTCAGGTAAAAACTCTGCACTGCATTTGAATTCAAATCTGCCATCGCTATTGGCTAAGAGGTACCCTAGAACGTTAGCTGGTACCATATGATGTCACAATGTCGTTGTGAGCCTGAGTGTGTATTTGTTAGCGGCTTCGCCCTCTCGGGCTGCTAGGCAACAGCATTTGTTGCATTTTTCAAACAGGAAGTGAGAGTGAAGGGGAAGAAGAAGAAAATATCATTTCTATAGCGCCTCTCAAGATAAAAATCACGAGGGGCTTCACAAAAACAAAAATGTAAAAAATATAAAAAAGAATTTAGAAATGTTGAGAGTGGAGTAATACTCTGATAGGGGTGACTTGCTCTTTAAGTAATCTTGTTTTGATGTGGTAAGCTTATAAAAGAAATACAGTCTCACCAAAATGACTTCATTAGACATTGAATTGATGACTTAGATTTTTTTATTCTGTGAAAATGTTTTTGAAATTTTTAACTTAAAATTCAACTGCAGGATTTCCTCCTCAAAAGTTCAAAACTAGAATTTAAATGTAAAAATTTCATTAGCAGAAATTCTAAATCACAAATTTAACAGACAAAATTCAACCTCAGAAATTCAGCCGCAAAAGTCCACCAACTGAAGTGACCTCCTTACGACCAAAGCCAAAATGATTGTCGCTTGATTATGTCGAGTGGCTTTTAGCCAATCAAGTCGTGATTCTCTGATCACATGACACCAGTGAGGCATCGACTAGATTGAGTGACAATTGTTTTGGCTTGGGTCGACGGGAGATCAACCTCGTTGAATTTCTGGAGCTGAAATTCTGCCACTGAATGTTAGCTGATGTTGAAAATTTGGAGCTGAAATTCTCCAGGTGAATTATTACAGATACAAGTTTTGCTGGTGTAACCTTGCAGCAGCCCGCTGTAGCTAGCGCTACATGAACCAACTAATACTAAAATAAACCACAAAGTAAAAAGATCCAATCTGTTGAGCAACCATATTACAAATTCAGCAGCAACAAAGCCAGGTCATTAGTCAGTGATTTTGTAGCCTCCTTTAGCTCCCTCAAACTAATGAAGGCCATGCCGATGGTCATTCTAGTTTTAGCTATTTTCTTAGTCTCCAAACACATTACTCTCTTAAATTTAAATCCAGGCTCCACCATGATGGCAACAGGAAAAGCAAACTATGTTTTCTTCTTGCGCTTTTTACTAATGATCATCGAACTGAAAAAGCTAACTACTAGCATAGCAGCTAACAGCCGTAAAGCAGGTAAGGACCTCCCCCCTGTAGAGCACTTACACATTCCACAAAACAAAGTGCAGTTTCTGCAAGTTTAAATTATTCAAATACATAATTTCACATAATAAAAATTCAATGTCTAAAAAACCATATTTGGTGAGATTGTATTTCTTTCATAAAAGCTGAGAATTTATCTTTAAAAGCAAAGTGGCAACAACAACTAAAATACATGGATCACATTCGGTTAAAATTAAATATCATTCAGCAAGACTCTGACATTATTTAGGTTTTACAGATAAAAGTACCACGCTTTCCTTAAAATGCAAGTACCAAAATGAAAGTACCATCAATCTGATCGATTAACACTTTGGGTTACGATTAATTTGTCAAGAAAAAGTCTCATTACAACAAATCCAACAGTCACCAGTGTTTTTATAGAATACTTTGGAAGAAAAAAGAAAAAGCTGGTTAAATCAGTGCTTCAACTTAATACCTTAGCTGGTATGTCGTCAATACAAAGTACAAACATTATTTGTTTTTACCCTTGCTAAAATGCATTATATGCAAAAATTTTGCATAAATGCTACTTAACGGTGATGTTCTAAATAAAGCCAACTAATTATGTACCATTACAGTAATTAATCTGACTCAAATCTACCTTATTACTACGTCTTGTACCAAGAAAAGACTCAACAAGATAACAAAAGAGTAAAGTCATATCAGTGTCATTTCCACATATGATAAGTATTGTGATTTCTTTGAGAAGTCTTTTAAAACAATAAATCTTTTAACAGTAACAAAAACGCGTACCAAACTGGCCTCACAACTCACTTTGTATCTTCACAGAAATGCGACGAACCTCTAGAAAATCCTATTTACTTCTGTCTAACAGACATATTCAATAACATTTCACAATAATAAATTCTTTTCAAATAAATACAGCATACTTTTTTACAAAAAATGTTTCCACAGACGGTAAAACACCTAAAACCCTTTTGTGAAAATCCTTTTGTTTTGTTGAGCCAGTAATGAAGTCTATAGTTCGGCCTGATGTCATAAACTTTTGAACAAAGGGCACAAATTGGTATTTTTTTCTATTTTCGTGCCAACGATCTTTCACAGGAACATGAATGAACAATGAACAGCCCAGAAATACACCATCTGACACCTCAATAAAACATGGCACAGTCAACTAGAAGCCAGAAAGACTAGCTACTGCAGCGAGGGCATATGTAGCGTTACCTTCACATAAAACAGTAAGTGCATAAATTTCACATGAACGTACGGCACTGCATTCTTGATACCTTTTTGTTTGTTTTTAAAGAGGAACTGAGACACCCTTCATCTGGCATTTACAGAGCTGAATATGTGTTATACTTCTTTTGTTCCACACCGGAGTGTTTTTAAGACCTACCAGTACCAACAACGTTCACACAGTTGATAAATTAAAGGTGATCAGGTATGATAAACCGTACCCAAGCTGTAATAAAGGTGTGCACTCGCTACGATGGAAGTTAAAACATTTTTTTTCTTCCCCCAAGTCGCGCACCAACACAGTGATATCTGAATGAGAAAAATGTCTAAAATTGAAATTATTAGGTGGGGAAAAAAACTCAAAGACGGGATATGTCCTGCCGGAGACCCAACTCTCCCACGCTTTCATAGTCAGGCTCTCCCTTGGCGGTGTCTGTTCCCTCTGCTTCCACCCTTTGATCGTCGTCCGAGCTACTAGTCTTTGGTATGCGGATGGATTCGTAGCAAGGATCTGAAGTGTCTTCGCCGGGCAGGGGCTCATCGGGATGGGAGTAGATGTCTCGGACCGTGGCGTAGAGGTCACTGGAGGAAGAAGTCGGGACTAGACCTTTGAGCTCGGCGATGCTACTGTAGTCATGCTCCTTGTCTTCATCGTTTGCTGCATTGTTACAGTTTGTCTTTACTGTGGAGTACACTTCCGACTAAAAGATGGAAAAAAGACACGTGGAAACAATCATATTAACTTTTTTCTAACATTATTTTGTGACACATACCCCAAGAGCCAACAGACCATGCAAGGTCTCAATTTTCAAATACATTTCTAAGGATATGCAGCCTTCGAATTAGCATTCAGATGGAAAAGGGTCACTCTTAAGGACTGGAAAAGGTAGTCTAGACTCTAAGTAATGACACACTTACTTCGATATTCGACCGAAAGTGGTTGTCCAAATCTGGTGCAGCAGACAACAGGGAGTGTAGCTGTTGAAACAAAAAGAAAAGAGTTAAAAGTTTAAAGCAACTCATTATTGTCCTCAAAATATGCCATAACGAAAACACGAAGGCGAAACACAAGACTAAATAACTGCAAAGTTCCTTAAACTGGTTAAAAATAGCAGAATGTAATACAGAAGCATTACAACAAAGATCCAATCCAATCCAATTTTATTTATAAAGCGCATTCACGAGGCATTACAACCAAACAAGGCGCTGTACACTAAAGATATTAGTTAATCAAACCAGCGGTATACAAACATGTCGAACACAGATAAAAGATAAAAAGGAAATACAACAAAATTCCCAAAAGCTAACAGCTAAAAATCAATAAGACACAGAGTGAATAAAAATTAGAAAAACGTTTTAAAAAAGAACCTCAATAGTATGGAAGTTGATATTGTAAATTCCATTTTTAAACAATGCAGATGTAAGTGATGGTCATAATTATGTTATATAAGCTAGGTTGAAGTAGTGAGTTTTAATACTCGAGTAGTGAGATGTCCCAAACTACTCTGAAGGAACGCTATTAAGTTAGAGTTGAAGCTCCTATTGAAACATATTAATAAAACATGCTATCAAACTATCGACTTGTCCTCAAAAACGTATGCATCGATGAAGAATCTCTCTGAATGCAAAGGAGTTCTCATCATACGATCAATGGTGGAATTCTGGGCTGTATTCCCAGCGGTGGAAGAGAAACACGTTGTGGATTTGCTGTGATACGTTTGAAACTAATGTTCTATGTAACCACCCATTTATTAAAAAACTCATCGAGCGGAATTCAATAGAGTGAGGGAGAGCGGGATGCTTTGTCCTGCACAGACAGTCCACTTCGCCTTATGATTGATGAGGAAGCCATTAATCAACAAAACTTAATTGACAGCAACACAAAAACGCTCCAAAAATCAAACACAAACCTCAACACCATCACTGGCGTTTGCTAAGTCGTTTGCTAAGTCGTTTACATCGCGTGGATAGAGGAGGAATGTGGACACAAGGACAGAAATTCCGTTTTAGTCCACAGCGGGACGCATTTCTGTACAAACACCTGTGCATAAAGATCATCCATCAAACTCTCCACATGTGGTATTTTCCACAAGCGAGAAAATCAATACGTCTACTTTATGGACAACGTGTGTTTGGAGACATGATTACTTTTATGGATCCAACACATGCTCAACAACACAGCAGATTCACCCTGTCACTTTGCTTTAATTAGTCTACCAATTAGACGGATTGGCCTCTTAGGAATAACTGTACCGAACAAGGACACAGCCTCTTAATGTTAGTCCATCAAGTAAGAGAAACACACTTTGTTCTCCAGACTTAAAACAAACTGAAGTGGATTTATAACTTTATCCTTTACTATTTTTTATTGGATTAGTTGAATCTGGGCATTAAAGCTTTATTTTACATACAAGTCTGCAAACATGGGTTTCTTTGGTACTAAAGCAACACTAAAGAGTTTCTAACACTTTAAGCTTTTGCTTTCAAACTGGTTTCAGTGATTCATGAGCCAGACATGTTAGCAAACTAACATTGGACAGCACTCTGTAGCCCTCTGCTGACCAGAAACTGCACTTAACAACTTTTGTGGTTCGGGTCGGCGTTGATCTCTACCTGTTATATACTGTGCTAATAGCTATAATAAAAGGCTAGCAGTTAGCTTTTACATATTGCCGACCATCAATATAAAGTTCAGTAATAATAAGAAAAAGTTAGCTTCTTTTGTGGGCCTCATGGCAGAGACTGGAAGTAAATGTAAAAGAATAATGTCTTTGGAGGCAAAGCAAAAAGCTAAAACCAGAGCAAACATTTCCACGGTAGCTAAGCAAGATACAAAATCCCGGACTGATTGTCACCTGGCTTTGTTGCTGCTGAATTAAGCAATACTATTTGTGCATCCATTATATGGATATTTTTACTTTGTGGCTTATTTAGTATCAGTTGGCTTGTGTTAGCATTAGCTTATTGTTAGTGCTAGTAACAGCTAGCATGCTGCAAGGTTGTTTAAAGCAGTTGTTATTACGCTTTCAACCAGCAGGGAGAAGAAGCGGGAAACTTGTTAAATGTTATTCTACCTTAGTATAAATATGATGAAGAGTAAACCTTTTATGAAGACTATAGGCACTGATTTACATCAACAGGTAGCAGAGTCAAGCTGTTTAGCCGTGGAAAACCACAATTACTTTATCACATTACAATAAATCATCTACCATAAAATGCTTTGAACAAAATAAACTATTTAAAGGTGTGGGTGACGTATTTAACCAATACATTTGTAGTGGTCTCCAGTAGGAATAAATGCCTTTTAAGTTGCTCTCGAGGGAACACAATATACTGGTGCACCATTACCAGAACTGAAGTTAACCACATCACAGCTGCGCTTCAGACAGCAGGTTTTGAAGTCTTATTTCCTGATATTTGGACATCTATCCTCGGACTGGATAACAGCAATGCGTCTCTACCACTAACTTGCAACATGGATGTCTTATCTCCACAAATAACGCAAGCCTAGAAGAGGTTTTCCATATTTTGCAATAGCTAATGCTAGCTGTTAGCTTCTGCTGCCCTTCATGACTCAAAATGGGTGAGTTCATGAATGTTAAGTGACAGTGTGACATAGATCTGTCACATTTTTCAAATCCTAGCATTTCACCATCTAATTTCTATCAGACGCTAATGCAGTAGTTAGGTGTAGGAGACTTTTTTCATGTTCAGCCTGCATGAAAAACACAGAGAGACAGATTAGAATAAGAAATAATCATTTTAAAAAGTTTTTTCAATGAATTCCATTTTTAAGATAAGAAATAAATATTTTTGTGACATTCAGACATTAGTTGAAAACACGTATCGACAGATAATTAAACTTAGTTATTTTTTAAGTGGGGGCTGCGCAGTGGCGCAGTGGTTAGAGCTGTTGCCTTGCAGTAAGAAGGTCCCGGGTTCGCTTCCTGGCCTGAGATCTTTCTGCATGGAGTTTGCATGTTCTCCCTGTGCATGCATGGGTTCTCTCCGGGTACTCCGGCTTCCTCCCACAGTCCAAAAACATGACTGTTAGGTAAATTGGTCTGTCTAAATTGTCCTTAGGTGTGAGTGTGTGTGTGATTGTCTGTCCTGTGTGTCTCTGTGTTGCCCTGCGATGGACTGGCTCTCTGTCCAGGGTGTACCCCACTTGATTGCCCGTTGGCTGCTGGAGGTAGGCACCAGCCCCCCACCCCCCCGAGACACCACATGGACAAAGCGGGTTCAGAAAATGGATGGATGGATTTAAGTGAATATGGACAGACAGCGCTGCTATAAAAGCAGAGAACAGCTTTGGATGCCTAGTACCTTTTCAACAGTATCAATGCTTGTAAATAAAGCTGTATGGAAGTATTACTAGATGCTGCAACTCAGAGCTCATGGGGTCGTCAATAAAAAAAAAGAATGGTGTATTTATAATGAGTCATATGCAGCCAGTGTGTTTTGCTCTTGTTCTGACATCTTTTTTTACGATACGTTTTAAATAGAGTAGAAGTGTTGCCATTCAGGGGGCATGAGAAAATATGAGGTTTGCAAAAGAAATTAATAACAAATAATAATTTGTTTTCAATTACTTAGTTTTTATTATTTAGTGCTAACAAATATTCTAATTTTCATTAATTGCACGTGTTTACTTCACATCTGAGAACTTATTGTCCAACAATAAAATGTGCTTGCGTGTGTGTATGAAAGAGAAGATTATGTTGATGCACATGGAACAGTTTAATACCTATACAGGAGTGTACAGTAAGCTGATTAAAGCCACTCAGATGGGGGTCAGTTGTGGAGACGATTATAATTCAGTCTGCATGCACAATCAATCCACAGCATAAAACTAAACATCTAAATTCTTGTGGATGACTGTTTTTAGCGACGGGTCCTTAACAGAGCCGATGTGTTGAATATTGCTGTTTACCTGGACCGCATCCCTGAGGTATAACCCAGCTGCTGGGTCAAACTCATTTCCTGCACCTCACGTTAAAAAGCCCCGCGGGCGTCGAACGGCTGCAAACACGCTCCGCTGCCGCTGTTTATGACAGTTCAATAACCGTTCGGCTTCACGGAGAGACTAGAATGACACAAAGAGGCTGCTGAACATGTGCGCGAGCTCGTGTGTGTGGTGATTATTAAACCTGGTGTGTGCGTGTGTGTGTCTGTGTGTGTGAGAGAGAGAGCAGCTACAGTCATTTACATACAGATGCCTCGGTGTTTGCACAGATGATCTGGGTTCCTGTAAACAAAGAGTGCGTTCGGCTAGTATCATCCATCATGAAGCGCAGCTTTACTGACAAAGTGACGGTGGCCAGCTAGACACACACACACACACACACACCACACACACACACATGTTTATTCTGCTACATAAACACCTCAGGGGCTGATTTAGGGTCAACTGAGAATGTTTCATGGATGACCAGGAGTTGACTGCAATTTGTCTTGTTGAACCAAGTATTTATGTGTGTGTGTGTGTGTGTGTATGTGTGTGTGTGATATGCACGTGGGCGGCTGCCTTTCACAGCATTTCTTAGTGTATTTGGAGTTTGGAGATGAAATGGAACTCGCCAGATCGGGCTTCATCTCAGGTAAGAGGATGAGAAAAGAGGTCAGGAGAACAAAAGAGCAGCGATTAACAAACCGGCTGCAGCAGCGGAGACAAAAGAATCGAGAAATGTCACCATCGTAAAATACGAGCAAGGCAGGGAGCGGCTTAGGATGTGAAGGCTAGGATATTTCTGTTGGCTACAATAACGCCAACTCTGGATGAAGAAAGAGTTGCAGCGTGGGAACGTGCTGTACCCACACAGCAGGAACAAAGCTCACTGAGGCAGAGTTTAGTCTAATCCACTGATATTAATCTATAATCAAAGAAAAGATCATCAGAAATGCTAATGTCAGAGGAAAACTGGTATATTTGATCATTTTATTAGGCAAATATGAGATATTTCTGTTATTTAAAGCAGATTTTTGCTTCTTCTTTCCCGTTTGCACTAATATAAGAACACACGTGTGATCGTCTGCGGGAACTTTAAAAAAAAAAGGTACAAATTTCCACGAATGCATCCTCAAAATGATAAAAACACAACCCCATAAATGGTATGATGGTAGATGTGATCAACACTAATCCACCAGTTGCATCAAAGATGAAACACTTTGGGAAAAAAAATAGCCGGTTTGACTTCATACGGAATTTGGAGCAAACTTCCAAAGACAAAGGGGCTTCGCTGGTTGCTATGGTGATTCCCACTCTTCCAGGAGAGGCGAGTGCTAACGGATATGTGATGTTGTAAACGACTGTGATATTTTATCTGACGTTTTGGAGAAACTCCATCTTGTTCCTCTCCCTCCACCTCTTCACCTCATCATCCTCTTTCACCCCTTCTCCACTCCCATCACCACTCCATCCCTCTCATCCACCGAGGACATCTCTGTCTGCCGCCAGGTTTCTTCTTCTATCTGAGCATCTCTAAGCACCGACTCCTGACTCTTTCTACCCGATGCCTTCTGGTCCTTTTACTTTTGATCTGACATCTCACCATCACTATCTCTATTTCATCTATTACCTTCTCCTGCTGCGCTCACATTTTCATTCCTCTCCCCTCCCGCTCCCTCCTACACCTCCGGATTTCTCCTCTTGCTGCGCCTCTCGTCCTAAAGACGCCCTGAGATGTCAGCAAGCAGATTTCTTTATTCTCCTTCATCTTTTTTTCTCAAACCCGCTACCTGGGTTCTCTTTCAAAAGTTCACTTTTGTAGGTTTTTATCTGCAGATGGGCGACAGGTAGTGCTCGTTTCTCACCTCTCCGTTGTGCACCCCAGAAAGCCCGTTGGTCACCACCGGCTGGTTGTCATTTTCATCCAGAACCTTCTCTGGTACTGGAGGGGGCGCGTCCTCCTGTGGGTCCTCCTGAGGCCTGCGTGGGGGGATGCTATTGGACCGTCGTTTGGCCTCCATGTCAACGCTGTGGCGGCTCTTCTTGCTCAGGTTGACAGAGGCGTACTCCGCCCCCGCTGACAGCGGCGCCCGCTTGGAGGGGACGGGGCTGAGTTTACCGTTTTGGAGGACGGGAGGCTGAGGTGAAGCAGGAGGGCCGCCGGGGCTCGGCTGGGCGGTACCGTTGGAGAGGTAAGGCTGCGCAGGGCCTTCTTTCAGCTCCTTGACAGTCTCATACAGAGAGTCCTCCACGCTGACATCACGAGACGCCGCCGCAATGTCCTTCACCATCTGGATGTCAGAAAAAACAGTTGCGGTTGTTGAAACCAGTTAAAATGACTTCCTGATCTTCCAGGTTGTGAGTGCTTTAGACTCTGACCTCATAAGTGCTGTCCTCCATGGCCGGGGGTCGGTCCCCGGTAAGTGCAGTGCTGGGAGGGATGCTGGGAAGCTCGCGGTCCTGGTGACACTTAGAAGATCTGAGCTCTGAGTGGCTGGAGAGCCTCTCCAAAGACAGCTGGGGGCTGGTGTCCTGTGTGTCTGAGAGGACTGAAGAAATATATGGTTAAAGTTTTTCTGTTCATGCAGGGTCAATTTAGTTGACCTTAGTTTGTTTAGACGCTTGCAGCATTTTTAGTTCATTTTAAGATTAATTTGGTAGTTTTTTTTGGTTGTTAAAGTTAGAATATGGAACATTTTAATAAAAAGCTATATTTTTTATAATAGTAATACCTCCATGGGGCATCCAGCGGTTTGCAGAATGATCGTACAGTTTCTTCTTTTAAAGCTAAAGATAAAAAGTAACATTTTTATTCTGTCGGGCTGTGTTTATGTTTACATCTACCAGCCACCAGAGGGCACCTTTGCACTAAAAAGTCCGCTCAGCAAGGCGAGACTGGGACTGTGTAAAATGGCAGACTTGACAAGACAAGCAGCTGATTCTGATCTCAGAAGATGTTCTAACGTTGAATACATAGTATAATATTGTAGCGTCATGAATGTCCTGTTTTTGACCTAAAGGTCATGATCTGCTGCGTCTGCTCGAGCAGAGACATAAAGTCTCTGACAGGCTAATCCACATGAGATAGTGGCCAAGGTCTTTCATGCACTCTGCTCATCTGAACTGCTTCACCTTTGTTACAGCGAAGACGAAGAACTCTTGTGATAAACACATAATCAACAACTTTGTTATTACCAATAATAATGTGAGCCCAATGTTCAATCAATCTGTGAAATAACAATGTTATTACTTGATATTATAATCCTGTGATCAGTAGTATTTTACAAGTTATTATAATCTTGGACATTTGCACTAGACACTGATGACACGTAATGCTAAAGCCACACAACACATTTCCTTTAGTCTGATCCAATCAGAACCTTCGTTTCTGGCTAGGCGTGGTTATCTGTGGTGTTTGTATAAACCCTCTTTTGCATGTCAAATTCTGATTCGCCAGTAAACCAAAATATGACAATTATTAAAAACTATCCCACGCCACCTTTTCTTTAGTTCAAGCGTTCTAGAGAAGTCTCGGACGGCCATCCGGACTTCCTCTTCAGCCAAAAGAACCTCAAACAAGCTGGATAAAATCTGTTGCAAGTTACAACTGACCGCAAAGGTTCCTTCAGAATAAAAGCTGAACCTTACGACCCCTTCAGGGTCTCGGAGACGCCAGTGATAACCTGTCGTGACCTGGAAGCATTCCAAGACTAGTTTGGTCGGCACCGCAGCTTTTCTACCGGCTTCGGTTCCAAGGAGGTTCCACGAGAACCTCGACATTCAGGATCTAACGGAGGCTTCCCCTGGGTACGTAGACCGACAGATGGCGTTTCATGTGTGTTATAAATCTCCTACTAAAGTTTAGAGTGAAACATTCACTCCCACTCAGAACTAACTGCTTCTCCGGATCCGCTGGTTCTGAATAACATTCCACACACACACACCATCGTCATTCATCACGTCTCATTCCACCTTAGTTCCATCAGTACACAGAGTGTTAAAGTTAGTCTTGTTTAAATTGTGTAGAAATAAATTTCTCAACTATTTTAAACCTGACTCTCTCTCTTTCCTTGGAGTTAATACAAAGTGTCACTTAATCCCTGCAATAAAAAGTTCCAATCTTCTGGTTAAAATATTCAAAGATCCATCAGACTGATATTTCATATTTCTATGGAATCTCACATTTTATGGTTCATAAGTAAGATGTAAACGACCCATCCTTTACATATTGTATATTATCACAAACATCCCAGCGGCTGGAAAATTAGCCCTGTTGTTACAATACCATCTCTGAACACCAGAGTTCACCATAGTCCGTGTTCCATTGTCAACCTTTAAAGGTGCATGAAGTAAGACTGACATCCTGTGGTCAAATCTGGGTACTGCAGCCCATGTATCAAAACAAACAGATGACTTTCTCACTCCTGCTCTGTGAGTTTCGTGGCTCTTGCCATTTTTGGATCAGCACCAGAAGGTTCTAGATGACGAGTTAAGATGAGTTATTCACATTACGTTGATAATGTGAATAACTCATATTAGTGCTTGTAGTGCTATTCTACTGGAATATGGAGTTCTTGGTAAGTAGATAAAGTACAAGGAAGAACTGGGTTGCTCCCGTTTACAGGCTTCCATTTTCCTCACAACACTGCTGCTCTTTGCCAACCAGTGTTTAATTACAAATCCCGGTGCAGACTTGGAAATTCCACGGGCTCAAATATGATTGGCTCTAGAACCAGGAAGTACGGAGGTGGGACAGATTGTTAACAGTGACTACATCCCACTTCTCCCTTTTGGGAAGGAGAAAAGCTGACAACCCCCCAGCCGACTGAGAAGGAAAGATGTTTCAATGCACCCTTCCAACACGACTGAGACATTAGACTGTGTGATTATTTTCCAGTGAAATTCTTACTTAATGTTCATTAAAGCTAATTCACTCTGACATTGCAAGGCTCCTTAATCTTTATCAGAAGATACAAATTTTGCTTTTTTTTATTTCTTCAGTGGACTCCATGAAAAATATCAAAGAAAAACACAAATTGACACATAAGCTGGAATCTGCAGAGGTTTCATTTTTTTATGTGAATTATTTTGAATTCTTTATTTTTCTCTATTTTTTAATCAAAACTTCAGAAAAGCTATAGATGGAGATATCCTCCAAACTCTCCAAAAATGCCAGAATCGTTGGAAGCATTGCACAGTACTGAATGTACCAGTGAGAAAACAACAGCATACGAAGAATCAAAAACAAAAGCAAACATGATTCAAGAACAACAGCTGTGGTGCAAATGTCTCCATTGTGTGAGTTGATTAAGAGAAGCCAGCAGCGTCTTGCTAACACGTGGACAACAAAGAGACGCAAAAGTCTCTGCTCACTTGTACCGCTGGTTAGAGGACCGTTGTAGGAGCAGCTGAGGGCCGCGTCCGTCACTGGACTGTCTGCTGATTGGCTGATGGTCTCCCTCTCAGACACCTGCACAACAAAGGACCAGATGTTTGTCTCGCTCACCTCTGAGCTGCACAGAAATCAATCTGGGTGACTTTCACACCCACCAATACGTCTGCGGAAAGGTTTCAGGTTTCTTTAGGCTCCATCATCCATGTTTCCTCACCAATTTATTGAACAGTGCAGATAGCTAAGCAATGCTATGAGCATGAAATGGATGTTCAGAACTTATTTTTTTTTAATAAAACATGAAAATAATTGATAAAATCAAGTAAAAAACCAGAGGAATGTCCAATCAAAGCTAGTAGAATAATTAAAGTAGAGGGTTACATTTCCGTTTTGCACTTTTTCTCTATAAGATACTAAAAACAAATTGCATTTAAGGCAAACAAAAATTATGCAAGCACTAAATCTGCCTATAGGGAGCAAAATGAGATGAAATCAACATGGTGAGCAAAGAAAATAAGAGCAACTATTCCAGTGTGTTCTGAGCCCTGACTCATCAGCATCATCTAGTTATGAAGTTCAGATACTGAGGGAACATCATATCAGGATAAATCCAGAGGTTTCCTTTGTTTAGGGTCTGTTGTTTTCAGAGTGAGAGATAAGGGTTTTTATGCTGCTCTCCATCTCCACCTAGTGGTCATTATTTTTATAGGCACTAATGTCAATGATGTCATTTTTCCTGTTTTATTTCCTTTTAACATCTTACTGTTTGATTTAAAGGTGAAAAAACAACATTTTCTGACAATATTTCCTCTTGATTAATCTAAAACAACTAATATGATGGAGTGGACTTGGAAAATATGTCCTCATTACAACCTAAAGTCCTCATAAACATAACTAGATGGTTTAACACCATCCTGATTTCAAACTGCATTAAAATGTCACTTTTATTTTACGCAAAGCCAGAAATAAGTGTTTTTAAAAATGACTGATGAGTGGGGGACAGTTCCTGGATGGATCTGCTCTCGCTCGGAGACAAAGACCCCCATTTACCCTGTCAGACGGTGACATGGTCTGTCATACAAATGGGCACCTCCTGCAACAACTCGGCGAGGCAGCAAATTACGCAGAAGCACAAGGTTACAGTAAAGATATCAATCAAATGAGAAAAACCTCACAGAGTTGGAAAGATAAGAGACTACACAACTCTCCGTCTGGTCACTGGAGCGTCGATATTATGGCGGTGGGTAATGGCTGCCTTTGCCCTGACATTGTGTTCAGAAGGACGCCGTGTTCGTTTATGGCTCGTCGTTATGAGCAGAGAGGGCCGAGGTCAACTCCATAAACACAGATTATTCTTTTCTTTAGACTCGCCTGACTGGATACCAGCCACGACGATCAGATCATATTAAACACACGTTTCTGTGACCCACGACTCACTCCGTTCACGAGGTTCAGCTGGTCTCCACCCGGGTGTCCATTTGCTGCTTTCTTCTCCCTAAAAGAGAGAATTAAGATCAATGAGAAATGGGTGATCACACAGAAATTAATCTGTGTAGTTTCTAACGTGGACACGGCTTTGTCCTTCAGGAGGTGATTTAATCCGATACCATCCAGAGTAACTCGCTACTCACACTTTTGGTTTCAGGGTGTATTTCACACTAAAAGAGTCTTTTTTAGGGGTTAATTGTGCATTATTAATGATTAGTTAATTAGAAAACAATATGGGGACAAATTTTCTTGAACGATTAAAATGCGATTAATCTAGATTAATTATAACAAAGCCTCTGATTAATTAGATTCATTTTTTAATTAAGTTCCACCCTTAGTATTTCTTTTATTAATTTCATAATAAAAACAAACAAAAAATTCACATTTACAGTGACAGATGAAAGATTTGGAGAGTGGTATTCAAGCTGCATAAATTTCATAATATTTTGTTATTTTTTATATAATTTAATGCTTGGGTGTCTGGAAAAATATACACAAACATATTTCTCTTTTAAGGGAGTCAAAAGGGTTTAAATTAAAGGTACCTGCTGTATGTTAAAAGTAAACTTTTAATCAGGTTAAGCACAAAAACGCTCAATGATTACCTGAGAATGTTAAAAACGGTTTGAAAGCATGTAGGACATGTATTGTTATAAATCCTTTAGATGCAATACAATAAACAACATATTGGTTTAGTTTAAGGAGTAAATAGAAAAACTGCTAAAGAATCTAACTTATGTTTAAAAATGTTATGTACAAACGTGCATGAGCAGCAAGACAAACAAAAATGGAAAAAAGACTTTTCGTTGTTTCGTATTTGGAAATGGTTGCATTAACATGTTACTGCAGTTTTTGTAATCTTGATTTTAATTCTTTCTTCATATTATGTATTATTTGATATAATTAATGTCATTTGTTTATACTTTATACAATTAATCTTAAAAAAAATCTGAAATATTTAAATATTTAATCTTCTATTTGATGTAAATAATACATTTAAGTTATACATAAAATTGTATTTGAAATTTTATAACAACGTATTTTGATTTCATATTTAATTAATCTTTTATTTATATATTTTTTATATTATATATTTTTTGGTAACTTAAGTGAAGTAAATCTAATCTGTTCTTTGGAATATTGTAATTTTATTTTATATTCATTTAGATTTTAGAACCTTTGATTTAAATTTGGTGTGGTTTTTAAATTTTGTTTAACTTTATCCATGAACTTGTAATTTTTAACATTGAATTTACATGATTTTAAACATATTTCTTTGTGTAAATGTCTTATTCTGTTAGTCACAAAACAGCATTTAAACGTTTTTTTATATTTCATAAAAGTTTTCATATTTAATAAATATTTTTCATTTAATAATGATTATTATTTTGCATTTTAATACTTTAGATAATCTTTGATATTAATATTTTATTTGTAAATATTTTCATGTTAAAGTAGCCCTCATCTTTTTATTTTCATGGGAAACATTGTTTGTAGTTATCGGAACAATAATGTGCAGCTATTTAATACACAAATCTGTGCTTGTGTGTGTGTGTGTGTGTGTGTGTGTGTGTGTGTGTGTGTGTGTGTGTGAAGCTCACCCCTTGCAGCTGGCACACAGCAGCAGCAGCATGGATGCCAGCAGCAAACCGGTGAGAACGCCGAGGGAGACAACAGACACCAGCTGCTCACTCCCCAGCCACAACACGCCGCCATTAGTGTCCGCCGTCCCCGACCACCAATCTCCACTCAACACCGGAGCCATGACACATCACACAGTGTGGGGAGAGGACATCGGACAGGTAGCAGCTGAGGACAAAACACAAACCTTCAGTGATTTTCAGATCCTTTTTCCAAAGGAACTCTGGGTAACATCACTGAGACAAGACTTTCTCGTTTTAAATTCAACACCAAAATTGTTCTGATGGTTTCCTTTGAAATGATGGAAGTCATGCAAACCACTAAATAAGTAAAGGAAAGTGTGTTTATGATGTTATGATGATGTCATAAAAGTCAAACATGTCAGACAGGCTCTAAATCCTGGTCCACAGCAGACAATCTGATGAGAAATAGCAGAAAAAGCACAGGTGCGTTAAAGGAGGCCGCATTCCATTTAGGGTGGTGTTCTGCTTTTGCACAACCAAAACTCACATCTGTAGAAATGGAAAACAGCCATGTTACTTCTACTCTTTCAATGTAAAAGCTGACTTCATATGCTGTTTAAAAAAGGTATATTAATATATCATATATATACCAATGTTTTATAGCTTTCTTAAATGACCTAAACTCTACCTAACCACCCAGATAGTCTCTTAACTCAGGATAAAATCCCTTTCTTTCAACTTTTTGAGGCCAAACAGCTTTTCAAACCCACTGGAGCTGAGTGCCTTTACCAGACGTGGCCAGCAGGTGGCAGGGCATAGCAGAGAAAGAGACCGGCTGCAGTGCAGACAAGTCTGCTGCAGTGGTTCTCACATCAGAGCCTTGTTTCAGAGCCACAGCATCAGAAACCTCCTCACGTCTGCCTCAGACAGCTGAAGTTGGGCTCCACTGTACCCCTGATGTTATCTCGGCTGATTTATGGGAAACGGAGAGGGGGACGTGGGTGAGACACAGCGAGGGAGGTGAGACTGTAACCGCAGGTCTACAGAAATATCAAACAAATAAACGTTTTGAAAAACTCTCCAAACGCCACCGAAGGGAGTGGGGGCCGGGGGAGGAGGGGTGGGGGTGGGGGGAGATGTGCTGAAGTGTGTCGGATCACACTGAGCAGCAGAATCCAAATGAAACCTCAAAGGTTGCAGACGAATTACTTGTTTGGGTTGGAGCGTCGGCGTGTTTTCCCTGATGGGAAACAAACAAAGGAAAAACACTCGGGAGCTTGTGCTGCTTTCACCGTGAGCAAGTTGGTGAGAGGGGAACGCGGCCTTACCTTTACACCTGGGACGGTTGGTCAGGTCGGCCTTGCCTGGAAAAGAGCAGAAAAAAAGATAGAATTAGAAAGGGTGCACACACACGGGGGGTGGGGGGGGGGGGTTACACAAATCTACTTTATTGATCAGTTAGCTCATGTAACTGAGAGGATATAATAACCAAGTGACATCACTGCAGCTGTATCATATAACTCGTTTGAACTACTCTAAATCCAACGATTATGAAAGAAAATCCAAATCACAAATATTTTTTACTTTATCACACTGCATTGCTTCCTCCTTTTCAGCTGAAAACACACTGGAAATGCAGCAGTGCTGCTTTTCAAAATAAGAGTGTCAAAGGACGACCCAAAAGCACGGAGCAAAGTGCATTCTGCAATATGCCCCAGACTTTATACTATAATCTGTGTTCCTTTTTACCAACGTTTTCCTTCCCTGTATGGTTGGATATTTATAATTTAAACATTTTTATTTATTGTCTGATTACGTAAAACCTAAAATTTCAAGACTTTACATTTAAGGATGCTGCAGTTACCATATGAAACCAACAGATGGCAGAGTTGAACTGTTTAGAATATTGAGTATTACTTTAAAGTTAAAGTTAAAGTCCCATTAGTTGTCACACACACAGGTGTGTGTGCAAAATTTATTCTCCGAATTTGACCCATCCCCTGGGGGAGCGGTGAGCTGCAGACAAGCCGCGCTCGGGAACCATTTGGTGGTTTAACCCCCCAATCCAACCCCTTAATGCTGAGTGTCAAGCAGGGAGGCACTGGGTCCCATTTTTTCAAAGTCTTTGGTATGACCCGACCAGGAATCGAACCCCTGATCTCCCAGTCTCAGAGCGGACACTCTACCACTAGGTCACTGAGAAAGGTGGCCTAGTGGCCACACTAGAATCAATATGGTCACCTTTAACATGCCAATAGTCAGGCTTGTCTGGGCTAGGAACTAAAGAAATATTTGGAGGATGTGTTGTCACCAATTAAATAAACTAATAACAGGAGAGTTTCTATGGAAGCCAGGAGGTTCAAACTGGAAAGAAGCTGCTCTGGTGCGTGGAGATCCTTTTGCATATAACGTAGGCACATTTTGGTGTCCATCCCATGTCGCCAGTGCTTTGCCCTTGTTCTTCCATCTTTATTTGTGCTGACTTTTTAACCCCACCAGAAATGACTAAGAAGGGGCGGAGACAGAAACACATCAGGGTTTCCCCCAGAAAATGAGTTAAACCTTCGGCCGTCTTGGGGGGGGGGCACACGTTCCGCTGCTGTTTCTCACCAGTATCAGCTTATGGAGGGCTCTAGTTTCGTTGCGCCGTTCGTGTCAGAGGACACAGTAGGGTCGGGAGGGGGGCGGGACATGACGCCTAGCCTGGCGGGTGACCAAGTAAAGCCTGGCGGGCCGCCAGGCTTATAAAGCGCTGGGGGAAACCCTGAACATAAAAGCATTCTTTCAAAGAGGTTAATGACAAAAATTACAAAATAAAAGTTGAACAACAAATCTAATGAATTGCAGAGCCCAAATCAATTCCATGTGAGTACGGTTACTCAGCGGTAACAGCCCCAAAAAATCACATGGGAGATTCAACCAAAAACAGTTTAACACCATCTTTGATTTCAATCATTTCAGAATAAAACTGTTTGTAGAATCTTCATCTAATACGTAAACAGGCTGGATTTCCTTGGAGGGAAAAAAAGAGAAATCCAAATGTTAGATTCAAAGTTCCCTCTTTTTAAACCTGTCTACTGATCCTTTTGCACAAAAATCTTCAATTTACACCGATCTAATTAAAGATCACCAGACCCAGTATTTAAAATGACTCGGCAGAAATCAGAACTAAATGGCGTCCAAATTCTTGCCTGATATTCAATGACAAGTGGATGAATCACTCGTTCGACCTCGTCTGGTGAAGCTTGTGTCAAGGTGTCACTATCTTCTGCTGTGTACCAGCTTGTGTGTGTGTGTGTGTATCTGCTGGCACTTAAACCAGAATAATTACCAGCTGCCATAGCGCCGTGTCACCATGGCAACATTTTCTTTCTACCCATCAGCACTATTTATGGCGTCTGGGCGAAGAAAAAAAATCAAAGATGTTTTAGAAGCAACTCAAGGCAGATGATTAAACCACAGGTTGGTGTGTGTGTGTGTGTGTGTGTGTGTGTGGGGGGGGGGTATTGGGTTTAATCTGAGCAGTTTTGTCTCACTTTTAGATTTGTTGTGTTTTAACTCAGTTTTTGCACCCTGACGCTCAGGTCATGCACACATGTAGCCATGTTTTTTGTAAAACCAAACATTCTCACTGTCAATCGAGTTTTCAGCTAAATAAAAAAAAACTAAAATTGTGCACAGTCATAGGCATGCGAAGCCTGTAGGTGGCAGGAGTTCCCAAAATTGTTGTCGTCTTAGCGGAAAGACATTGGGTGTTTCTCAATGTCAAGGAACATCGCCTAGATGCTTTGGTCCCGCCCCGGTTTTCTGGGAGATATGTCATCAGGAACTGCCAAGGCGTGTTTCCTGGTCTAGGTTACATGAGGTTATATTTTACTTCTATAAAATGTAACTTTACATCACGTGTCACGTGACGTGACTGCCGCGGTCACCTGGGGAAGTCTGTTCCATTTAATTGTTGTCTTCGACCAAGGAAGGGCAGTGTCCTCGTAAGCAAGGCGTCTGGCTTAGCAAGACATCGCCTTGCTAGGCTAGGCGGCCACATTGAGAAACACCCATTCTCTAGATGTTGTGGGCAGTGACGTCTCTCAACCCTAAACCCCTGGTTAGTTATGTCAACAGGCAAATGCTGACGCCGGTGAATTCACAAATCTCCACTTTGGTTTGAGTTTTTGAACAAATTGTTTATGTTTATTTATTTGGCAGACGCTTTTATCCAAAGCAACTTACAATTTATAACCTATAGGGCGTGTTGTGATCTGTGGGGGAAACCGGAGTACCCGGAGGAAACCCACGCATGCATGGGGAGAACACGCAACTCCACGCAGAAAGGCCGCAGCCGAGTTTCGAACCTGCAACCTGCGTGCTGCGAGGCAACAGTGCTAACAACTGCGCCACCATGCAGCCCATTTTTAATTGTAAAAAATATTTTTGTTTTTGAGGGATACACGATTATGTGTGTACAAGTCCTCAGTCTCAACCCTAAAGCCAACATGAGCAAGAAGCCTTCTAGGGTTAGGGCTACGTGTGGCCTTTCAGAGTGGACGTACTACTTCGAGCACAGAGTCATGGAGTTTTCCAGATAAAAGTCCCGGAAATAAAAGTGGAAACTGGTTTTTACTAATAAAATCAAAAAATAACTCAAAAAGACAAAACAGCCGTGGATCAAACATGGCTGCAGTTTCACTTGCATGCTTTGATCTACTGTTTATAGATGCATTCAAGCTCAACTTTCATTCTTTAAAAATATGACAACAAACGCGCCTCCTTACACTCACACATGACTCACTGCAGTTCTCGACAAATAAAGAGAAGCTAATTCAGTTGCTGGAATGTAGCTGAAGCAACCAGACGAGTTGATCCACAGAAGACGAAGACGGTCAAAATGAAAAGTTTGCATGAGGAGCAGAACAAAGGTTCACTTCTTGGGAGGAAGAGCGGAGTACCAGAATCGCCAATTAGAGCTGGAATTTCTTTTTTTTGGTCCTGTCCGACTGTAAAGCAATGAGAATTGATGTCTGAGTGCCGAAGACGAGCCTTATAGTTTTACTCTCACAGGTGGAGCGGTATAGCTTCAGCTGCAATGCCTCGCCTGACACCAAAACTTTACTAGAAATGTTTTCAGTTGTTTTAAATACCAATGAACACGGAGACTGAAACGAAAGAGAAAGGGTGAGAAGAAAGGAAGAGGTGGGGGATGGAAAGATAAAAAGTTCACAAAAATAAATAATAAAGGATGTAGAAGAATCTGCTTCTAGACATGCAGAAAAAGGAAAAAATGGGACACAAAAATGCAACAGGACGAAAATATGGCTGCGCCAACCGCATAAGTCATTTACAATTTCTACTGAAAAGCACACGTTAATAATTTATAGTGCATTTAGCGCCAACCACAGCCTTATGTGGCTATGTGTCAAAAATGCCCAAGTCCATATTTGTGAGAGCACCAAGTGAGCACCTGTGTGCGTACACTCGAGTATTTAATAGTGAGTACGAGGGGCCACAGACCTACCCCCAAAGACCTGCGGATGATGGAGGAGTTCGAAGCCCCAGAGATCCAGAGGTCTCCCCCGGAGCGTGGGAGAGCTGGAATTTTGAACCTGAAGAGGCTGCAGCTCCCCTTGTGATGGTTAAAGAATACTGCAATGAAGCCTGACTTAACAGCAACTTTACACAAAGAACATTTCTTTAAAAGCAGAAATGCTAGCAAAACCATTTTTGTTTTCTTGTTTTAATGTAAAAAGCAAGCCTTGCTGTGCACCTAGCTAAACCAGGAAGTTGGGAACTTTGCAGATTAAAACTCCCATGAGCCATTGCTCCACTTGTGGGAATTGTTCTGATTAGTTTATACATTTTAACTGGAATCAATCACTTAGCCCTGCAGTAATGAATAATATTCTGCAGGTCTATGAAAATCTACTGGAAATGACAAGCGCCAGTTTTAGGATCATTTGAGGATGAATTTTCCCAGAGCCCTCTCCTGGAAAAGTGGCCTCCTCACTCACTTGGTACCACCCCATCTCATTCCAGCAATCCCAGTGCTGCAAATGTGCTCTCCCGTTCTGTATTTCCTTGATGAAAAGATAAAAAATTGAAAGAAACGATCCCCTCTAAGATCCAAGGACGCTGCTCTTCCCTTAATACTTTTCAAAATACCCCACATAAGAGTCAGAAGCTGTTTGGTGCTATAGTCCTCCGCCGATGAAAGCTTCAGAAACATGAAAAACCTGACTGGAAAAGCAATTTAAAGAGGAATGTGCTACATGAAAGACACACTTAGCCTGACACTAAACACAACCTCCATCTCTAGACATCCCATCTGAGCCGGTCGGTTCTGATCCTGCAGAGCCAGAAACTGCTGAAT